ATAGCATGTAAGAAGGTCTATAGTTCCAAGTGTTTCTGTTACTTGAGTGATTGTTTCATGAGAGAAGTGGTTTGGTACATGGTAATCTTCACTGTTGTATTCTTCTTCTAATATTACTTCATATGATGAGTATGATAAGTCAGAGAGTTGATCGTTGTTGGCGTTTAGTGTAGTATGTGGATCATAGGGGTTTAGAGATGTTGGAGATGATTCCACATAAGAATAGTCTTCTACGTCGGTCACTGTATACCTAGCTTACACGGTTCCGCAAGGGTTAGCAACAATCAGGTTGGACATTAGAGAGTTGTTTAATTCTATCCCTTCCGGGTTGGTGCAGCTTTAATTTGATAGATATTTTGAGTTTTCTTAAATTTAAGCAAAGATATCTCGCCAACCACCAAGTCAAATTTAACAAACATTTTTTATTTGCATTCTACAAATTTATAGAATTTAAATAAAAAAAAGTTGATTGAATTTGACTTGGTGATTGTCGAGATATCTTTGCTCAAAGTTTGAAAAATATTTTGGCACAGCTTTATTTAATAGATGTTTTGAGTCTTTTTAAAACTTTGTACAAAGATATCTCATCAACTACCAGGTTAAATTTGATGAACTTTTTTTTATTTAAATTATACAAATCTGTAGAATTCAAATAAAAAAAAAAAATTAACTTCGTGGTTGCTAGAAACTAATCAAGCTATGAATAATCCAACCTTGACTTATTATTATAGTTCTACTGAGCAAGATTTATATAAAGTAAGTACAAATATAAAAAATGGTGCATGAACTATTCAATTCAGCATCGATCAACACATGCTCATAGCAGAAATCACATAGTACCACAACATGGGCTAGAACCCAATAACTTCATCTCTGAAGTCTTAATACCACCAAATTTACTAGCATAATATGCATTATATAAAATATTCAAACTATTATAATGTTTCTCTAATCAGTACTTATAAGAATTATCATGCTCATTATCTAACGTTTCATCAACACTATCCAATTTTCCCTATTTTCTCAATGTCTCCAGCAAACCTTTCATCATTATATCCATTTCTATAACCACATTCAGTGGCGTCTCCATTAATACAATTGCTTTATCATTTCAATATTGCTTCTCAATATTAATCGTTCCATCAACATTATACATATCATCAAATTTTTAATACCAAACAAATGCCATATACTCATTACCTTTTGTGCCCAATCCTTCAAGCCCATATGTTGCATTAGCATTTTCATAGCCATGTCTAGTGGTCATTGTATCATTGATATTTCTCATTTCAGCAGATTTCACACTTTAGTCAAATTCTGTTATTTCATACTAGATTATGCACATGCTATTTTGATAGCATAATTCAAGATTACAATATCCATCTGAACTTACATTTTCAGGAGGATTCAATCACTACTTTGATGGTTTGGTGTCTTTTGATAATTTATATGTATCACTTTCGACTCCAACTCTAACTACATTTTCATCACAGTGATTAACCTTATAAATTCCCATCAGTACTACTTAGATCTGCTGATTTTTGACAATAAGCAAGTGCTTTGCTTTCTTATTTTTTAATTCTGGCTTCATTTGCTTTAGAGGTATTATCCAGATCATGGGTCAAAAATTAATCTAATTTTATCAGCTATATTTCACATAATTTTGCGCCGCGTTAGTCGACCCAAAAGATTGTATTAAAAAAAAAAATCAACTCTTATTTTGAAATGACGCATATAGGTATATTCAAATAACGCACACACACCAGTTTTGTCTTCAATTCTCTTTCGATGACAAAATCTAAGATTATCCTTTTCAACAGCACCTCCTATTTCTGCAGATCGCTGATATTGCCTAAATTTTTTATGTTTCTCCTTCTTTTCCAATGTAGTTAATCATATAGGAATAATTTGGGTTCCTGGATTTATCTTCTTTCGATTTGGGCATTCACATGCCTTATGCCCTATCATAACTATTAATTTTTCATATATCTCATCACTTCTGTACTTGCTTAATTCTTTAAGTCATCACTCATCTTCCAAATTGTGCCATCATAGTCATATTAATCTTATCTTAGTATTAGGCATTATTATGTATTCTTGGTAGCTTATTTTATGCAAGAGTGTTTATGCTCCAGACAATAGGTATACACGCTTGTATAGACTTGTAGTCATTGCGCCTTAAGTAAATTAATATGGAATCTATAGCGTAAGTATTGAAATCTCTATGTTGATAATTTGTAAAATTAGAATGCATATAAGAATGTGTCTTTATCCTTAGTTGAGGATAATCTTCGTTCTCCCAAATTCCTCAATAAATAAAGGTCATATATATTCACACTCTTTTTTATAATAAATGCCTAATATATCATGAATATTCGAATACTAAAAAAATTATTAAAACTTTATATCTGTATATATATTTAAATATATTACTGTAGTATTTAGGTGTTGGCATTCCAAAAGCAAACCTTTCAAAACTATTCCAACATTTTTATCGTGTAGAATTTTAAACCTCTCAGCCACGAAGGTGCTAGAATTGGCTTCACTCTTGTTAAAGAATTTATCACATGTCATAGAGAAGATATAACAATTACTTTAGTAGTTAATAAAAGAACAACAAAGATATCTTTGCAGAAAGTTTTAAAAAGACTCAAAACATCTATTAATATAAAGCTACGCCAAAATTTTTCTCAAACTTTGAGCGAAGATCCCACCAAGTCAAATTTAATTAACTTTTTTTAATTTAAATTTTATGAATCTGTAGAATACAGATAAAAAAAAGTTTATTAAATTTGACATGGTAGTTGACAAGATATCTTCATTTAAATTTAAGAAATCTCAAAATGTTTATCAAATTAAAGCTGCGCTAAAAATTTTTCAAACTTTAAGTGAAGATATCTTGACAAACACAAAGCTAAATTCGATAAAGTTTTTTATCTGAATTCAATAAACTTATAGAATCCAAATAAAAATTTATCAAATTTGGCTGGTGGTTGTCGAGATATCTTTTTTTAAAGTTTGAAAAAAGTAAAATTTACAAGAGTATGAATAATGAAATCGGGTATAAATATCTGCCATCTTAAAATATATATTTATACAAATTATTAATTAAAGTTTAAATTTTATAGTTACATACAGCAGCATATGAAAAAAATGAGCTTCTTCATTCTGCATTTATAGCACATATTGCAGATTATTATAAACCTGAACAACTAATTTTTTTAGATGAATCATCAAAAGATGAGCGAACATGTTCAAGAGCATATGAATATTCTACTATTAATACTCATGCAAACAAAAAAACTATTTTTGTTAGAGGAACTAGATATACTATATTACTTGTACTAACTTTAACTGGTATTATAGCTATTGATATTATTGAAGGAAGTTGCGATAAAGAATGCTTCGAAGATTTTATAATTAAAAAAGTTGTAAGTATATATATATATATACTAGGTTTTTAAATTAATATATAATATATACTATATAATTATTTTAGATTCCACAAATACAAGCATATCCTGGTAAAAATAGCATTTTAATATTAGATAATGCTCAAATTCATAACAATAAAATCTTTATTGATATGGTTAATACTATTGGTGCACATGTTTTATTTTTACCACCTTACTCACCTGACTTTAATCCAATTGAAACAGCATTTTCATTTGTGAAAGGTTATCTTAAAAAAAATTGTGAATTTGTACAAACATGTAGTAATCCAATGTATCCTATTTTAGCAGCCTGTGCAAAAATATCTCCTAATATGGCAAAAGGATTTTTCCAGCATTCAATATATTTCTAACTATATAGACATAATAGAATATGATTTAAATATATATTAAATTTATTAGCTTTTATTTTTTTTATATGTTATAGTATATGCTAATATTTACTAAATTATATAACTTTTATCATATTCATTAAAATTTATGTAGTCCTATTGGCTAATATTTGTATAGCATTTTTTTACATAATCCAGACTATTAAAGTGAATTAAAATTAAACTAATTAGAAGCTATTTTATATTTACAAATTGAATATTATCAAATAAGATTAAAATTATCCTAATGGTAAAAGCTATAATAACAGTTAATTTGAATTTATTTTTTAATTAAATTAATATAATTAATATGAATAATAAGCTGATATATTGTGATAGTTAACTATGAATATGCATCAATCTGGTATCAATGCCAATAAGATCTCTAATCAGTATAATGTGAGATATGAGAAATGTTATATATTCAGATTAATTTCCAGAGTAAAGCAGAGGAACTTAAGTTCTGACAATAGGCAAAAAAAATCTAGATGAATTCTGGATATAAGATAAGGAAAATTTCTAAATTTCACATTTTCTTTCAATTAATCAGAATTATATTATTACTGTAGTTATTATTAAAAAATAATATAGCACATATATATTATTCTTTAAATTTAACTTGAATTCCGGGTGTGGATAAGAATAAAATTTCTAAATTACTATTTTGTTCAATCAATTATAATTATAGCAATGCTGTAGCTATTGTCTCTTAGTATATAACATAATATTCAAATTTAAATTTTAATACTATTGCTTAAATATCTATACTTATTATTCTTTAAATTGATTTTTGACTAATTGCTTCTATTAGAAAACATGAGATGAAAAACTCGCCAATGTATTTTAGCTAGGTTAAAGCTGCTATAAATTCAAATTAGAGCTTGAATCCAGTAGATATTGACTATCTATTTGTTTTATTTTTGAGATAGTTATGAATTGAAAGTTTGGAAAATAGAAAAATTTTATAATTTCAAATATTTACTTGTAAATTACTAGTCAATTCTAGATATATTTATATCAGGGACTTGTAAAATTTTAGTTTTAAAAACTTAAAATTTTTTTAAAATTTAGTTTAAATTTAATACTTAATAATTCAGTATTTAAATTTTGCCAATTGTTTTGAAAAATATTATTAAATATAAATTATAAATCAAATTGCACTAAGTTATATAAATTTATGCCTCTAGATCACGACATCAATATCCAATACAAACTAGTCATATAATGTATATCTTAGAAATTAAATATATTGTATTATTAGGAATTGGCAAATTAAATATTTTTTGAATCTACTGGCCCACATTATAGTAGCTTACTGCTAATGCAGACCAGAATTGTGAAATTTTAAAATATTTGAAATTCTAAAATATTTGAAATTCTAAACATATCTACATAATATAAACTTAAAATATAATATAGAAATTTTTAGAAAATATTAATTAAAATTGCTAATTTAGATATAAATTCTCTAGAATTTAAAAATTTAAGTTGATACTTGAAATTTTAGATTTTTTTTAAAAATTTTATATATAAAATTTTACATGTTCTGATTCATATCATGTAATTATACATAAGTGCTTTGTTTATATGATTTCATATGTTAATTTAAATGGGTATCATATATTAAAACAACCCATATTAACAATTTTTCAAAATTTTTATTTTTAGATATATATTTAATATAAGTTACAAAAGCTAATTATAATAAAATGATTCATAAAATGAACTTTAAGTAGTATATTACTATTTGTAGATTACTTAAAATCAGTATTAACAAAATATGAATATGGATATAGATATTTATGGACTATGTTCGTATTGTCCATATTTTTATATTAAACATTAGACAATTAGATATGCAAACATATATTCAATAAAATTCAATTTTTTTTTGTAATAGTTACTTCAAAATATTCTGGATAAAATAAGTCAAATTAGAATATATGTCCAAAATATTTTGAGATATTCAGCAAAGGAATTTGAACATGGACAATATTTAACATGCTTAAAATTAATTTATACAAAAAAATTAGTTATATGCAAAAATAAGCTGTTTTAATATGTAGCACCCAAATAAATCTATATAAATTATTTTGTATAAAACCAATATAAGATATAATAACTATATTTTGTTATAGTTTAGCTTTATAATTCCTAGTAATATTTCAATTAAGTATTCTTCAAAACTTTTTTTTATTTAATCAATTAAGTATTATTAATCAATATATTAAATTCATATTAATTTAAAACTTACTTAAGAATATAAATTGATAGATTACAACTTGATTTATAATTAGTAAAAGTAGTTTACTAGTAAGTAGGTTCATTATCGTGATGAAAAATAGTTGAACCCACCCTTTTTGTCATAACTTGTTCTGATTTTTCTAAAATTTATTATCCACATTTGTCTTATAAATCTTCAGCAAAACTGCAGTACTTCAATTAATTGTAGTATTATGTACTATTTTGTATGTAGCTAGCTAATCACATTAAAAGCACTCTTAGTCTTTAAGTTTGCAATTATTTATAGGTCTAATTGGTCCAAGCATTTAATATGAGCTATTAATGCCTCATTTAGATTCATATTAGTCTGTATAATTATTATCTGCTATTTCCAAATTATGCAGAATTAGTATAACCAAGTCTATATATTATACGATATAAAATACCCTATTTTTGACATAATTCTAACAGAATTTTCAAGTTGGCTTTTGTAAGATTGATATTAAGACTGATAATATAAAGCATTTAAGCATTAATAAAAATCATCAGAAATAAATAATTCTAATAAAATTTTAAAACCGCTATTTATTACTATTACAAATTAGCATACAAAGAATATGAGCTACAATTTTCAAACTATTTATTATAAATGCACCTATTGTGGTTTTGCATTTATTATGTTTTTATATTTATAAGTTTTTTTTTATATAAAATTTTTAGAAAATTTTTTTCATATTTGGATTAGTATTTAGTAATTGAATTAAGGTTTGGGAAGGGTTTTTGGAGTTGTAGAACATTTATATTTAGAGTATCACATATCAATTAGTTAGTCAGTTTTTAAAATAATTTAATATAGGTGGTAAATACTGTAGGTGCGTTTTAGTAAAGTGATTAATAAAAAAAAAGTAAAAAAAAAAATTTTGGAATATGAGAAATGATGAACGTAGTTTATTAAATTCTAAAATACCTACAATAGAATAGTATATAGTTTGTAATTATATTTGTCTAAACTTATTATTTAATATAAGCTAATTAAAGCTATATGTAAAGCAATATATTTTTAAACCCAATTTAACTACATTCTAATCTCTTGATAATTACTACACACTTATATTTAGGGTAAATCCTAAATAGTATTTACTAGGTTTTGCAAAATGTTAAATATTTGACTATAAATTATATTATGATTAAATTTTTTACATGTAAAATTAGGTTTAGGCTCATCCTAAACAAAGAGGTTGTTTAAAGTCTGGCACTATAGTTGTTAGACGAAACCATTTTTGCTTGATGATGAAAGTCAAAACCTGAGCTCTAAATGACAAAACCTCTGCTAAAAGTCGAAACCTCAAATTCTTCTGACAAAAGTAGAAATCTTCAAATCCTTCTAACTAAAGTCGAAACCCCAAACTTAGCTTGACGAAACTCTAGTACTCTGCTAAAAAAAAAAAAAAAAGTAAACCTACTAAAAAAAATCTGTTATTACCAAAACTTTTAACAAATTCTGGTGCCCCCACTAAAAAATTTAATGAAAATTAATTTTTTGCAAAGCTGTTAACCCTATAAATATATATATTTAACCAAAAAAACAATGATTTATTATTAAGGATTTCTTTTTATTTATATTTAATGCTGAAGTTATTTATTGGCTTGACATGGCTTGCATATTTAGTTTTTAAAACAGAAATTATAAAATATAGAGAATTATGATAATTCAACTGCCAAGTATAACAATAGTTATAATTAATAATATTGCTGAAAATCATTAATTGTGTATATAAAAAAATAAACTAATAAAAGATTACAAAAAATTTTATTGTATAATAGGCATTTGAAATGTTTAAAGAGAGTATTCTATAATGTATTATACTAGTACACTATGTATCAGTTCTAGTGAGAAATTGCTTAGTGCTTACTTTGTAATCTTACAAATTTATTTTGTGCCAGTATGTTTTTAATTCGTTATTTGTGTTATTCCATGAGTAAGTAATATGGATTTTTGACAAGGTTATTTCAACTGGTCTATAACAACCCAACCTTATATTGTCCAGAAAAAATGAGGTTTATTTTTGCTGGCATAAATCTAACTTCAAATACTGATCCTGAATAAATTTTGAAAGTTGATTCAGTGAAAATAATAATTGTTTTTTTTTTTTTATATATAGAGGATGCACTAGAGCCTCATATTTTTGAGCGTAATATTTCTTTATTTAAGTTTAAGGCTTCGTCTTTTATCAGAAGAATTTGGGGTTTCGATATTCATCATTATGCAAAAAAGATTCGTCTAACAACTATAGCCCTTTATGAACACAAAGCCTTAATTACACTTGTTTATTATATATAAAATTTTAGTAATTATTATAACTTAATGTTTTTGTAATTTATTTTTATTCACATTATCTTCAATAACATTTATCTTTTTCATCATCTATTATCTTCTATTAGTTTTGTCACCTTTGTAGTTTTATCAGTTTCTTTACTATTTATCACCTTTCACCAGTTTTGACACCTTTCGCCAGTTTCAACACCTTTCACCAGTTTCGACACCTTTCGACAATTTTGACATTTCGTCATTTGAGATTTTATTTGACGAAAGTTGAAACTAGGTTTTGATTTTCATTAGCGCGAAACCTCAAGGTTTCATCTAACAACTATATCCAGCACCTTATGAATTCATCCAATAGGATTACGAAAATTTGATATTTGTGTTCTCTGATTGCAGGATTGGCCATTCCTTTTTGGAGGTTTGTATTACTATTACCTGCGCTTCACACTACAGCACTAGTTATTAAATGAGTGCTGCCAAGCGAAAACCAGTGTGAGACCGAAAACGTGACCTGACGGCAGGCACATGACCACGTGACTCGGTAAATCTTAATTTAGGTTTCCTGCCCAGATCTGCCAGATATCCCGGATATGTCAGAACCGCCCGATCTGGAGGATTCGGATGATTTGGAAGAAATGGAGGATCTTAATGATATGGACTATAAGGTTGATAATGGGTTTATTGATGATATTTGGGATATGGGGGATTCCTGGGAATGTAAATAATAGAATTAGCAATTATAAATAAAGGCCTTTTGGGCCCTTCGGGAATAATAACACCTGATTTACTAAATAATAAAATATCTAAGTCATATAAACATAAACTATAAACTACTTATATTCTTTATGAACCACTCGACCAAATCTAACACGCCTCCTTTCGACCCTAAAGTAACCTAGGTTTGGTTACATGGACCTCCCTTCGACTTAGCGACAGACCCGCCGTTCCGGGTCTGACACCAGTAATTTCGATTTTTGCCGGTTCCGCTTTCTGATGATAGATTTAAATTAAGCACAACATAAATTATATGGTGTGTTAATTGTATTTCGGAAAACTCAATTCCTGGTTTTTACCTGGCAGCACTCAAATGTCGAGTCATTTAAATATATAATTCTACGTACAGTATACTCTTTAATTATGAACCCAAACTCTAAATCCTAACCCAACCATATAATAAACAATTTCTCAAAAATTTTAAAATTTAATATTAAGATTAATTTTAAATATAGCTCTATCATCCAAATTATATGCAGAAAAGATTATACTGTATAAAAGATAACAGATAATTAAATGCATCAATTATAAAACGGCACAAACTTTATTCAATACTATATAGCATTAAAATTATTTCTGTGACTTTCATTTTATATAACAACTATGTCAGCCAACAACTGGGATGAAATAAAAGTTGTAGACTTGCTGAATAGTCGTGACTGGTCATCAACTTATCTCGGACCTATACACTCTTGGCAACCTTCATTTAGAACCGCTGTGGTAATTTACTATTTCTATTTATTTATTTTGTTAATTTTTAAAAACGCTAAGATGAAAGTTATATAAATTTACAAGGATACCTGCCTTAATTCAATGTTTTCTGTCCATATTTATTGCGTTCCTGATCTTATTTTAATATATAACCAAGATACGTACAGTACATTGAAATTAGTATTTTTCTTATTATTATTGATTGCATCTTATTCGCGTAAGTTTATTATCTTTAGCGAGTGTTAAAGTATTAAAATAGAAACACCCAACTGGTTAGTTATTATTATACAATAAATTCGTATTATATAATTGCACACTCTTATATAGCCAACACTTCATTTACACTATTTCCAATATAATTTTACTGTTACAATATTGATGGAATAAGCACTATAGCAAGGTTCATATTTTATGCGGATCCAAATCAAGTGAAACGAAATACTATAATAATCTGATTCTGTAATATTTTGATCTGATATTAAATTTAGATCATGTACATAAAATAAATATCTTAATTATAGTCGTGAGAAACTTTTTATTGAGTTGATATAAAGACATACGCTAAGGAACGAATACTTAATTATAGGTTTGGTGCTTACATATAACTGTTCTGGATTTGGAAAAACTAAATTTCTTTAGTGTAAATCAAGAACATGCATGTGGAACGGAAGAACTTGAATCTTCAACTGGGTGTATGTCTATTCGTTAGTGGATGTGAATGTGTGGATATGTGGTGTGTGTGTATTCACATGATGATGATGGTGACGCATCCAAGTGAGGTGATCCGCACCGCCACCAGCTATCCTATAATATAGGAGGAGGATGATTTTGTCGTTTTGTGTCATTGTTGGCATGGAAAATGTTCATCACGTCGGCATAATCGTACAATTGGGTAAGGCTTTCATTGTTTCGTATTTCAAATTCGTAAGCGGGCAGCGGTGGTGGGACCTCGGCTGCTGCTGGAAATAAGGTCAGGTGCTTGGCAACCAGTAAGTATGCATGTATGTATTTGTGTAGGTCTCTTTGATGCCCATTTCTGAGATGAATATTGCATTATCGGTATTATTTATTTTATCTTATTTTTTAAACTTAATATCTTTCAATTATATAAAATATATAGGTAATATAATAAAATAGAGAAAATAAGATGGATAGGAATATTTTTATATGATATAAATTCAAAATCAATGATAGGTAGTAAAGGGATATTTCTATTAAATATATAATTAAACCAATACGTATAGAATACTACAACCTCATATTGACAGTGACTTTTTCAATCTCGATACTAATTTTAATTAACCAAAAAAAAAGTCTTAAACTAAATACTCTATACTTATATTCTAGTTAACTATATTCTTTTGAAGCTTCTTGTAATGCTATTTGCCATCCGGACTTCTCAATTCCTACTAATTTAAATTGATCATCTGTTAATCTACTTATCCATTTAATTCGAATACCTTGATCCTGAAATTTTGGCAAACATGCTAAAATTTCACCACCAGCATCCTCAACTTCTGTTAAAAATTCTTTGAGGCTAGGAATAGATTTTGTAGTTACAGATTCTTGTAATGTTGAAGTATTTGATGATTGTAAATTAGGAATAACTGGAAATGGTATATAATAAGGTAAAAAATTATTAGGTAAAAAATTGTTAGGTAAAAAATTGTTAGATAATAATTGTAAAGAACTATTAGATAATGTTTGTAAGGGGACATTAGGTAGTAATTGTAAAGGAATATTAGGTGATTGAGAAAAAAAATTAGCTAATGGTTGTGATGAAAGATTAATTGGTGGTGGTTGAGATAAAAAATTTACTAAAGATTGTGTTGACAAACTATTTGGTAATTGTGTTGACAAATTATTTGGTAATCGTGTAGACAAATTAGTTGGTAATTGTGTTGGTAAATTAGTTGGTAATTGTGTATACAAATTAGCTAGCAATTGCGATGATAAGCTAGTTGGTATTTGATTTGATATATTAGTTGGTAGTTGTGTAGAAGAATTAGTTATAGGTTGAGTTGAAAAATAATTTGTAGGTTGTGTTGCAAAATTAGTTAATGATTGTATTGAAGAATAATTTTGAAAAGAATTATTTAAATTAGATGATAGTTGATTAGAACTTGATGTTCCTCTTGGTTTAGGTGGAAGTGTAAATATTGCATGACAAGGTGGCGTATTAATATCAGCTATTCCGTTTGACTATTAATAATTTATAAAAGTTTAATATAGTAAAATAAAAATAACTATTGACTATTATAAAGTTAATATAAATAAATTCATACAATAGCTCGAGCCCAAGTCGTATAATGCATACCAGATAGTTTAATATGACCAGTTTCAGTAGGCCAACATGATCCTTCACAATTAGCACAATAATATTTTTCACGAATTTGAGAAATAATATGTCTTTCATCATCAAGATAAGAAACTTTAGGCTTTTTACCAAATAGTTTTGGTTGCTTTTTAGTAGAATTATCATCGCTACTTAGTTCTTCAGGATTCTAAAAATAAGATTATTGATAAATTATTAAAAGTTTAAAAATATTAAAGTAATAAAAAAAATATATTTATACCGATTTATATAATCGTTTTTTTGGATTATTTTTTAAAATTTTTTGTATTTGAACATTGATAAAGATTTCCTTTTTCTTATTTATAGCATTATTATAATCCTTTACAAAACTTTTAAAGTCATTTTCATCAAAAATTTGAGTTCCAGCTCCAGATTCTTTTGCTATTTTATATGACAAAACATAATTATCTTGAGTAATAGTAAAATTATCTAACTGAAGTCGAACTTTTGAAAGAATTTGATATCGAAATTCATCACAAGATTCTGCTAAAATATTTACTCGCTTAGCAGGCAACATAGTATTGTCTTGATTTTTAATACTTTAAATAAAAATTCTTCTTTATCATTATTATATTCATCATCTAGATATCTATCAAACTTAGAATGAATATCATTTTCTAATTCCTCAACACCATCAGATAATAAATCTTCTATTGGTTGACCTATATAATCTGATGAATATGAATCTGCTGCTTTATATGCTGATTGATTTGCTTGACTTGATGAATAGGACGTAGTGGTAGTAGATTCAACAGCATTATCAATTATATTATTATTCTCTAATGTATTATCAAGATGTTTATCATTATTTGGTTCTACTTTAGATTTAGCTTTTCCAACACAATACCACTTGCTATTATATGATGAACAGAATGCAAATTTAAATTCTTTGGCAAAATTATTGTTATAATTATATTTGCCTTTTGAAGTTTCTAAAATTTCTATTTGACCACTAGTAAATTTTGGATTGTAATTAATTTTGTACGATTTTGAGAAGAAGGTGAAATAGTTTTATCACATTTGTATGATTTTTGTGAAGAATCTTCTTTGCAATAAAGACATTTTGCACATCAGTAACAAGTACCTATGAGGTAATTAACACTATTCATATTGGTAACATTAGACAACTAATTTTTTAGTCGTAAATATATATACAATCTTGTACAATAATATACAATTATGCACAATTGCATACAATCGTATACAATCAACTTACAA